AAGGCGACACTTTATTATTTGCTTGTATATAAAGCATAGGGAAAAATATTAAGAATTTTAAAAGCGACACAATAATTTCTGTAATTCATTCCAGTACAAGGTGGCAAAAAATGTGTATTCATATTATAAAAGCGAAGCGGAAAAAAAGTGTTTAAAAAAAATTATTATAATTTATATGAAAAATAATAAAAATAAATTTTAAAAAGACGTATAATATTTAAAAAAAATTTTAAGTAGTTGTGAAAAAAAAAAAATTTTTATAATAATGGGTAAACATTATTTGAAGTGTTTGGGATGAAAAAAAGCCGACACAAAAAATTTCATTTTTTGCCAAAAGATGTGAAGAGGTAAATATGTACTTTTGAAAATATTTTAAATTTTTAATGTAAAGCATTTGTAATTAATAATTATTATTAATAAATAAAATAAATAAATTATTTTTTCAATCTTACTAAATTTAAAACATATTTCCTATGAATCGGCAATGCATACACCTTTTTTTCTTTATAAATTGCTTTACTTCTATGTCACTACCTGATACTGTGAATCTACTGTAACAGGTACATGCATGTATACATTCATACATGAAATTTCAAACTCTTTTGCTTTCATACATTCGAATTTACCTAAATTTTATGAAATGAAAAATAAATTTTGTTATTATCAAAATAAAAATAACAAAATTTTTACCTAATTTAATTTAATTTTATTTTAGTTCAATGTTTTTGATACACTCGTTTGTTTACAATATTTTGTTTCTTTCTTGCCTACACAACTCTTATTACCATCTATTTCTAAAAAAAATTGAATATTTTAAGAATTTGGAAGCAAGATGCAAATGAAAACTAACGGAATGGAACGAGTCGAATTACTTGTTAGTAGATATCCTTTGCTAACAAGTCCCAATACTCAATTTTTTTTACGAAATATTACGAATTTTTGGCTTCGTTCTTGATTTTTTCTTTAAATGCCACTGATCGTGTCATATTTCTTATTATTTTTTTCTTTTTTTTACGTAAAAAAGAGTTTAATATTTTAAAAAATCTCAGAATATTATACACATTTTTTAAAAAGCTTCCCATTTAAATTCTATTGCACGAAAAAGAAAGAAAGGTAGTAGGAAAGACAAAATGAAAAAAAATTTCAAATTCAAATTCAAATTTTGTTGTGCTCTTCTTTCATATTTTATTATCAGGTAAACAAGAGCAATCTATTTATAAAATGGCCCTGTCTGTGTATGAATCTTAATAGTAAACGCAAACGCACAAAAATTTACATCAGTACCTACTACCTGTCATTTTACAATCGGAGTTTTTGAGTCATTTGCTAAGATTAATATGTATTTCAAAAATAAAGAAGATATTCGAATCCGGTCATAAAAATATATTATTGCCTTTTCCAAAACCTTTTAAATTTTTTTTTTACTTGGGTAATATATTAAGTCTTAAAATTTTTTTTCAAAAATAGAGGTAAAATTTAGAAATGTATATAAAATTTGTATTTAAAAAATAATATTTGACTGTATTTTAGATATTATTTCCTAATTTCCTGTTCAAATTTTTTATTTACTATGTATTCATATCAATATTTAATAATTATCTTTCATTAATTATATTTTCAACTTGACACCACAGTTACTTCCCATATCTTGAGTTAACTTACCCTATGAGAAAAAAAAGCTGTTAACTTAAAAATGATGAAATGCTTTCAGTAAAATATAAAATGTTGAAGGCGAAAGTTGTGCTTGTTGTTTTTCCGCTGTTTCAAGAATTTTAAAATAATTATGAATGAAAATATTAATATATTTTCTTGATTTTTCAAATATATTTTCGAAATTTTACCTGCTTTATAATAAGTGTGAATTTATTTTAATATTTCTTCTCAAAAAATAGCCATTTCGATTTAAAAAAACCCATATAAAATAAGGTCGTGCTTTCAAGTTTCTCTCTGAGCATTGGTACTTGTTAGATATAAAGACATTATTACGGTTGTAGTACCGTCTCAGAGCTTTCAATACCTTTACCTTGAAAAAAAAAAACTACTAAAGCTTTTCGTACATTTTGGAATACAACTTTTGGAATACCCTTGAGATATTTTTTATATATTTATACACATACGTCTAGCATTGTACAAAAAAGATACTTATTTAATAATTTAACAAAACAAAAACATCGCATTCAATAAATTGCGCAACTTAGGTAATAATAACGTAATAACTTTACAGGTACTTTCAAGTTGTAATACAAATAATACTATATTAGTTTAAGCGCTTCAAAATAAATAATAGGACTTTTATTTTCGATCAAGTGTTGAATTTGAATTTAAAATGAATCCAAATATTAGTTGTCAATCAATCAATTAGGTCTTTCAAAAATAAAACTTGCAAAAACTTTAAAAAGAGAAACAATGATGAAATTTCTTTAAAAAAAATCTCATTTAAAGAAAAAATAAACCAGACAGAACTTGTAAAAACTTTTAAAAACTTTATAAATATGCGATAAACTTCAAATTTCAAAGTATTTATCAAACGTAAACCAATATTTTTTTTGTTACACCAAAAACCAAAAATTTTGATTTTGGATTGTAAAAGTGTGAAATTTAGAAAAAACCATTTCCGAACCTATTTTGGTTATTTTATTTTATTTTTAATTGAAAAGTTTTGAAAAAAAGTTTCGACTATTACCAAAAGTTTTTCAAAAATAAAATGAGAATGTCATCCTTTTCTCTCATTTTTGTTCGAAAAGTTTGCATGCAAAAACTTTATAAAATTTTTAAAAAATTTTAAAAAACTTTCTTATCCCAGACAAACCTAATATTTGTTACGGTCAAGAGAATAATGTCTATATTGGTACTTCAAAATAAGAAAATGTTATAGAATATTTTTTCTCAAAAATTTTTATTTAAAATAAGAATAATAAATTTATTAAAGAGAATGAAAATGATAAAAAAGCAATATGTGAATGAAAAGTTTTCAGTGGAATTTCCGAAAATGTTTGGGCTTTTTTTCCTTCAAAACTTTAAAATCTCGCATTTTTTTTTTATAATTTCTATCCCAAAACACTTAACTCTTTACAAAAGTGGCCAATTTTACATACTTTTCTTATTCATCATAAAAATACAAAAATTTTTTAGCGATAACATTTCTTTTTAGAAGAATTTAGCATTCTTTTTCTGTCAAGAAAATTGTAGAATGTAAAAATAAGAACTCAGATGTTTTTTAACTTTGGACGGAAAATATTTTTGGTACTGCCAGTCAAACTTCGAGTCCAGTTTTACTCATCCGTAATTTTAATTTAAAATAAAACAAAAGCAAATGTTTTCTTTGCAAAATTAAAAACATAATGAAATTACTAATTAGGAATATAATCAAAGCCCTATGAAAAAATATTTCTTTTAATTATTGAAATGAATAGTTGTAATGTGTAAAAAAAGTGTATGGTGTAATAAAATTATTTGTTTTTACAAGTGGGAATAACAATTTAGATCTACATATTTTCTGATTTTCAACAGATTTTTTTTTCTTTTTGTTATAAGTTTTTATAAAATAATATTCTTTTTTAGTATATATTATTAAATATTTTATGATTTTTAATTTACAAACTGCACTAATTTTATAAATAAAATAATAATATCTTCTTTGTTTACTTTTTATATAGCGACGCGTAATTTAAAAAAAAAAAAAACAACAATACTTGACATTTAAAGTTGGACGTTTATTTCAATTTGACAGCCAATACTTAGAGCAAAGAAAGAGACAGCGATATATTAACAAAGATGCTCCTTCATTTAGTATTTCTAATTCGTTGATTGGATAGATAACTTTTTCTTGTTCCACGATTCTGTTAATCTAGTACGTTTAAGTTACCAGCCAAACCAATAGACGTACTAGATTAATATAGTGTCTATATAATCTATTTCTCCTTTTCCCTCTAGTGGGATTTTTCTTAAAAATATTTTTAACTTGGGAAGTAGAGTTGAGAACAATTAATAAATTTTTTTTTGTAAAATGAGTAAAAATTTAGTAGGAGAGTAGTAGAAAAGGTTCCTTAAATAATATTATAATACATGACCGAAATTGGAAACCAACATAAAGCTATTATAGTTTAATCCATCTTTTAAAGATTGAAATAAAAACAAAGACTCGAACTAAATACATATTTAAGTTTATTAACGCTTTTTTCAACTTTTTTGCATATCGCTTAAAGAAAATATTCATTCCCCATATTAGTATTTCTACTACAAGCTCGTACATATTTTAAAGCATTCTCACTAAAACCAAAACAACAAACTTCCTTATTAAAACTGTCTGCGTTTTCATATTTCCATAATATTTTAAGTTTGCATCTACAATGTTTAGACAAGGAAAAAATTTAGAGAATTTCTATGAAAAACAAGCAAGATAACATAACGTATTCACTTGCAGGTATTTAAATCTAGTGAAACATTTATTAAAACTATTAAAGTTGGATTTCGACCAAATTTTTTTGTAAAACTTGTTAATGTTTAAAAAACATGCAAAAATACCTAGTTCACGCATTTTATGCAAATTGCTTGTTATATATACTAAACGAAAAACATTTAGTGTACGTTAAGTTTGTATGAAATGTATGAACTATGCATTTTTTGCATGCATCTCATACAATTTTTGTTAGATATTGATCAAAGAATTATCCCTAAAATTATTTGGCACTTTATGTGAACCACTCTGTATAAAAAATTATATAAAAACATTTCTACACTTTTTGACTTTTATATATGTCACGTCTTTTATATACATATGTCAAATATGAATTTCTTTATATTTTAACTTACATATTTTAATTTTTTAAAATATTATTTTTTTGAATTTCTTCTTGTTATAATTTCTATTTTCATAAAAAACTCAATACCAAATAAGTAGAAAAATATTCTTATTCATTATAAAAATATACAGTAAATTTTTTAACGAAAAAAATTTCTTTTAATGTGGGAAAGTATTCTAGTAGAATCTAAAAGTGGGAACTCAGCTGTTTTTAACTTCTTGGTGGAAAATATATTTGGTACTGTATGTTTGAAGGTTAAATGGTCTATTGTCAAACCAATAATGCTTAATTTATTTATTTGATAATTCGTGTAAACTTTCCAAATTATTTCTTTTGAAAAATGATTGAGCGTAATCTGATCCAAAAGCTAAAATAACCTTTTTTTGATTCAACTGACGAAAAAAAGGTGAAAAAAAAAACAAAAAAAGTCTGGATGACGTGTTTCAAAAGAATATTTCATTCGTTATTGCGGATACTCTTTGTTTATGTGGATGTATCATAATAGTACGTATAAAGTTATTTTTTTAGAATAGCTTATAAAATTTGCAGATAAGAGTTTAGCAATTCAATTCAGTTAAATTATCACCGTTCATATGTAAAGTTGGATTTGGAAAAAAAAATTATACTAGTAATTATTTTAGTGCATGATTCAAATACATATATATTATTAAATGACTCATTCAATATTAAGAATTGACGAATTTATGTGATCTCATACTTAATCTTTTTTCAGTATTTTTACTATTTGTGTTATTCATAACAACTATGGCTGAAGATTTACAAGAAAAATTTTCGCAAAATAATGCAAAATTCTCTTTAAATTTGTATTCTCAAGTTAAAAAAGATAACGCAGATAAAAATATTATTATTTCACCGTTTTCCATTCAGACATGTGTTGCTCTTGCATATGCTGGGGCTGGCGGTAAAACCGCCGAGGAAATTTCATCTGGGTTGCATTTAATTGGGAATGACAAAAATGTAGTTGGTGAATCTTTTAAAAATGTTTTGGATTTATATAAAGACAGTCCATTATTAAAAATTGCTAATAAATTTTATGTAAAAGTTGGCTATCAAGTAAAAGATGAATTCAATACCATTGCAACCAAATATTTCTATTCTGAAGCTGAAAATATTCAATTCGAAGAAAAAGTTGAGGCAGCGGCGAAAATGAATAATTGGGTTGAAGAAAGAACAAATAATAAAATTAAAAATTTAATCAAACCGGATGTACTAGATTCGCTCACTAGAATGATCTTGATAAACGCTATTCATTTTAAGGGAGAATGGCAACATAAATTCAAAGAAAGTGCAACACAAAAAGAAAATTTTTGGATAAGCGAAACTGAAAGTGTTAAAGTTGATATGATGAATACGAAAAAAAATTTTCGTTATGGTGAATTTGATGATTTAGATGCAACAGCTTTAGAAATGCCTTACAAAAATTCAAATTTATCTATGCTGATTTTACTTCCAAGGAGAAAAACTGGGTTGTCTAATTTGGAAGAAAAATTACAAGGAATATCACTCACAAATATTACACAAAATATGTTTTTCAATGAAGTTATTGTTAAATTTCCTAAATTCAAAACCGAATTTGAAATTGAATTGACGAATACTTTTGAAAAGGTAAGTGTCTATTTTTCATAACAAGATTTGTAAAACGTAAGTTATTCGGAAAAAAGTTTAACATTTTGTTCGAGCTTGAATATACTATTCAAGCTCGATATAATATTCGAGCACGATGTAATATTCAAGTTTAATACAATATTCAAACTCCAGATTTAACATAATCTTGCTATTTAATATAACAATATACTTACATAAATAATATATATGTATTTACGATCAAATTTTATGTTTTATACCACATTATTATAACTTTACCATATTGCAAATATCAAAATGTATGAAATTTATCTTAAAAATACCAAAATTTATCTTTTTTAAATTTATCTCTACCTTGAAGATAATTTTGATTTTCGTAACTTGAATGAATTAAAATTAATTTGGATTAACATTACATACATGCATGCTGAATTTAAGAACATTTTTGTTAAAGTCAACTATTCTTAATATACATTAAGGCTTATTTTTCTAATGAGATTTGGTATTATGAATTTTTGAAAACACAACTATAGCTAATTACCTACCATATCTTAAATTACAAGTTAAATTAAAAATTAAAGTTTAATTATAAATTAAAGCAAAAAATTAAAATTTATAAATTATAAAACATCTAAATGGTATACATACTTATTCATATTTGATTTGCATACTTTAAAAAAAATAAACCGTTAAAATTTACAACCTTAAAACAGTTCTCTGATAAATTAAATAATTAACTTAATGTTATTAATGATAAATATGCAACCGAAATTATTGTTAAATATATTTTTACTTTTTATAAACTCTTGCAAATTGGTTAAATATTGCAAATGGTTAAACATTTTTTGCAACTCCTATAGCAGATTAGAAGTAAACTGACAATGTTCAATGTTTTCACTTGCCTTTGTCAGTACAAGTGCAAGATTGAAAATATTTTTTAAATAGTATAAGCAATTTTCAAATTATCTAAACTTGAATTTTTGGTGGCTGAAGCGTTACTATATTGGAATTTCAATAAACTAATGTTATAATCATGCTTTGTCATCGGAAATACATATGTATGTAAAATTTTAAAAGAATTGGTTCACAGCAATTAGATGACATATGAATCAAAAGATTTAAATAATAAAGTAACTAAACGGAGCTCTCGAAAATTCAATTCTAACTTAGATCTTAATAAAAAGCTTATTTAATAAATCAACACTACAAAATCTCCAGTATGGAGATTGAAATTTATGTTCGATAAATTTTTACTACAAAAGAAGCTTATTCGAAAATTAGTTAAACGCTTAATGGTCTGAAACATCTTTTAAAGATTTAAGTCCTGCTTAATTAATTTGTAATTAAATATCTACATATACAGTTACCTAAATATTTAATATGTGCGCATTGTGTTAAGAAAATTGTTTTTTTGTTTTGTATCCTTAAAATAGTTGTACCCTCATAAAATTATTAAAAGACTTTAATTCCCGGTTAGGTGTGTAATTAAGGACTTTTATTTTTAATTCTTGTTCTAGTCAAATAAACTTTATGTTGATGGGTTATTCAAAAAGTTTATTAACTTAATTTTCTTTTTGAACATTGTTGAATTTATTTATTTTACCTTTTGCTTTATTATGTAGACACATACCTATAATTAATATGAATTAAGTATATTCAACATATACTTATGCTATATGTCTATAATGTAAATGGCAAGCGAAATAAATTTGCATATTCAACTAACCAACAAATTAAAATTCAGTTTAACCACTTCAAATAGAAATAAAATAATGATATAGCATGTGTTGTGTGTAGAATTCCACATAGCGTGGCATTTGGCACTTTTATTATCCTCGGAATTTTTTTAAGAAATATGAAAAACAAAAGTGAAAATTTACCTTTGACCTAAATATTCAAAGGTTAAAAAATGGAAGTATCAACAAACTTGGAATTTGGTATTAACATAAAGAAATTCAATTATTTTAAAATAGAAACTTTACCTTTAGCATAATCGTTTCGTTTGAAAAGGTATTTAAGAATAAAAAAATTAAAGTAAAATCCTCTTATAGCTAATAGCATAATTTAAGTTATCTAAAACTAAAGCTTTTATCTCATCAACCAAAAAGCAATGATTTCCTTTGTAAAAGCTCTTAATAACTAAATTGATAATTAGTTAATATTGGTCATAGTACACTTAATATATAAAACAATAAATATATTTCATTTTAGAACGAATTATGAGCTACAAACGAAAAAAATTATCAAAACTTTTTTAATAATGGTTCTAATGAAAAATTTCTCGTTAAATACGTAAATAAAAGTAAAATTAATGACTCTTCTTATTGTATAACATACAATAAAACTCGGTATTTATTAGAACATGAATATTAAAAACATTAAAAATATGGGGAAGATATTCTTTTGTAAGATATGTTTGTAATAAATGAAAGGAAAATTTAAAGTTTTGCACTGTGATCAAAAATCGTGCTAATTTATTTTTTATGATAACGTTAAAAACAAACTAATGGGACACAATCTTATTAAGATATTAAGATAAAGTTAAAGCTCTTTGAAAATATCGAAGCAAACTGATTATTAATTTACATAATAAAAATTCAAATTGATTGCAGATTTAATTGATAAACATTTGATATGAGGTGAAGCAAAATTAAACTGTCTTATTAAATTAATTCTTTAAATTTTTTTATTATTTCGCATTTATTCTTCATAACGATTTTAAAAACGAAGTATATTCAATTTCTATAACCTATAACCTATAACGAGGTATATATAACTTCTATAATTTGTAACATAAGAGGTGGGCCTTTTGAATTCTTAAAATTTGTATGTACAAGGAGAATATCCTAAGAATTATAATGAGGAAATAAATTTCTGAAGATTAACGACCTCAAAACCAATAATCAGATAACATTTTTTTTCTAGAAAATATTTCAATGAAAGTTAACAAAGTTCACAACAAATTTTGCGCGGCGCTTTTTTGAGAGTTTTACTATTTTACAATAACTACTAAATTCTAAGTTTTTAAATTATTTTAATTATAATTTCGACGACATTTTTAACTTTAGTTTGTGAACTTTTTTTTATTTATTTTAGATGGGTATGGGTTCAATGTTTAGTGATGATGCTGATTTCAGCAATCTTTTGGATTCACCTGAGCCGTTAAAAGTATCACAAATAGTTCACAAAGCATTTATTGAAGTTAACGAAGAAGGTGCTGAAGCCGCTGCTGCTACTGGTAAGTTAATTGTTTTTCAACAAACTCAATTCTATTGCTCGTAATGTGTACATACTTCCTGTTCATTGATATGTGTTATTGTTATTAATGTACATTTTTTTCTATTACTTCATAACTTATTCTAATAATTATTTTTATTAGAATTTAATAACTTAAGTAATTTAATAAGTTTTTTGGCATAATGTTAGTGTATGTATGTCTTTTATTATTATTTTTTTTTTCAATTACTTTTTGTAACCGTTTTTTAAAATATTAAGGTTTTTTCTTTCATTTTTTTTCGTTTAAAAATTTTGGAATTTTATTATATCCAGACTTGTTCAAATTTTATTTGGTATTACCATAAAAAGATATACTATTAAATTCATTTTAATACTTAACCAATTTCGAAAATTGTGTACAAATTGCTTTTACTGCTGTGAATATAAAAGAAATATATAAAAAGTTTGAAAATAGAATTTTAATAGAATAAACATTCTGCGTTCAATTTATCACGTTCAAATTTATCAAAGTTGAATGTACAAGGGTTTTATGAAACAAAACTTGCAAATTTTTTTACGTCGTCCAATATAAATAAAAATAGTTTAAGATCGCTTTACTTCAATCATTTTGTATGGTTATTACAAAATATATGCAATTAACTTTTCAAATGGTTTCGTTGCAAAATATGCATTATAAATTCCGTAGTACAATCACCTTCCATGTCGTTAGAGTGAATAATTATAATTATATTTAGTTTACCAAAATTTTAACACATTTTAGGAGTTTAAACAATTGTGTATACTTTTTTGTGCTTTATATTATTTCAAAAATGCTTTATGCTTTACTTGTGCTTTTAATATTTCTACCTTGTAATTTTTATAATTTTCCTTTTAGCCGCTGTAATTCGTATGAAAAGATCTGCACCAATATCAAAACATTTTACAGTTGATCATCCATTCTTATATGCAATAATTAGCAGAGATAGCCAACATAAATTTATTGTCTTCTATGGATGTATTAAATCATTTATCAAAAATATGACAGATTCTGCAAAAACCTGTTCCGACTGTCGTGACGAACTCTAACTTTTGCAATTTTCAGTTTTAGGCTAGATTAAAATTTATAAGCTTGAGTGCATATTGAAATTCTAACCTTTTTCCTATATTATATTGATTTAATTCAAGACTCGAATAAGCTGTAATGAATTTTATGCAGTACACAGACCTATTCAACAAACTTATAAAATCTTTTCTTTAAAAGTTTATTATTTTCCACTTTATTTTGATTCAAAAAAAAGGAATGTAATTTTTTTGAAAAATTCATTAATTTTTTTTCACTTGAACTAAAGTGATTTATGTAAGAATTGTTATACTATTATAATATATTATTTGGTGATGTGACAAATTCAATAAATGTATTTCTAGAACGTGCTTTTAAAACTTTCTGTATATCGTCTAATACAAGTAATTTTTAAGTAGCTAAAAAATGTTCGCAACATTAAAGTTAGTTGAACAGGATATGTTTGTGTATATTTTGCTTTAACACTATCATATTTATACATATTAATATACATTTCACTATTTCTATACTCTTTATTTCATGAAAAAAAGGTTTTATCTTTATTGATATCATGAAAAAAGGTTTTATCTCCATTTTATAATGTCTGTTAAAATGATCAACAAATTCTAATTTTTTCAAGAGATTTACATATATAAATTTATTTAAAAAAAATTGTTTTTTTTTTACCTTTTAAATGTGAATTTTGAAATTATTAAATATTTTTATTGAATCTTCTCAAAGATCTTTAATTTAAATATTCTTCTATTTTTATAAATTTTATTGAATATGTATATAGGCACATATATATTTATTTTAATTTTTATTTTACTTCAATTTTTCACATTTAATGTTATATTCAAAATTTTTATTTTTTACATACATACTCAAAAAATCGTAGAGTTTCAATATTCCTAATGAATGAATACTGACATTGAATAAATAAGTATATAAATCTTATTTTCAAAATTTTGTTATTAGTTTGGCTTAGTTTCTTTTTAACTGAATTAATTTTTTGTGAATGGATTAATTTGATGAGACATTAAACTGAATGTATTTTATTCAACCATAACTCATTTTTTCAGGTGTCGAAATAATGTTATGTGCTGCTTTAAAAACGCCTTTAATTGAGTATAAATTTCATGCTGATCATCCATTTGTGTACTTTATAATAGATCGTCATAACAGACCGTACTTTAATGGAGACTTTAAATCAATTTAATATAATAAAATTTAAACAAGGATTTTAAGCAAAAAACAATTTTAAGCAATTAAAATTAAAATTAATTTTGATTGAGTTCTTAAAACCTTTTTGTAAATTTAATGATTAATTTATTGATTTTCTAATTTAAAATTAAAACTTCCTTTTTTTTAATAAAAATATTTTACTAAATGTACATTATTTTGTTCCTAGTAAATAATGTGTTTTTGGTGTTTTTCATATGCTAAGGTAAATAATACAAAAAAATAAACAAAGTAAATAATCACTTTTCATAATAATTTTTTTTTCATCATTGTTAAATTTATAGAATGAATTTTCACAATTATGTTAACTTTCGCTGCTGTTTGCTACTTGTTTAAAAAAAATTTACGTTATATTTCCTATTACATATTTATTTTTTAACTATTGCCATCTGATTATCATTATGTATTGCATTAATTGGGATGAATTTTTTTCCTGAAATATTTGCATATTATGTGACATTTTTATGAGCCATAAAATGTCATTTTGACGCTTATAAGGCATTTGACATCGTAATAACATATTCGTGAATTCTACGAGTATTTATTATGTTTCGTCCCGAAAAATTCTACATTTTAAATCGTGAATTGATATTCGTATTTTATCATAACATAACGTGTTATATAGTTCCAAAATGACCCATAGCTAATGGGAAGCGTACATAAATGTCAGTATACATATAGCATCCTTAATATAAAATAATTTAGTATATCATGACAATAGGATTCAGATAGTAATAGTTAAATATTGATTCTTCATTATTTTATTGAACCATTTCTTAATATTGAATATTTTCAAAAACTACAAAAAAAGGGAAGATCGAAAAAGAAACCAAAATCAGTTTCTTTTATTTTTGTTTTAAACAGGAATGGTTATGATGATGAGATGTGCGATTATTGAACCTCCACCAAAACAATTTTTTGCTGACAGGCCGTTCATATACATTATTAAGGATAATGAGGGACATAACTTTTTCTATGGAAGATTTGTTAAAAATTAACAAAAAAAAATATAAGAGAAAAGCTCAGCTCAGTTCCACTGGTGGGAATTCAAAAATAATGTATTTTTTTGAAATTGAAAATAAATTGCATTTTTTTGTATATAATAGCTTTAACATAATATTGCATTTAAATGTTATTAATTATTAATTGTGTAATTATTGTAATAAAATTCACTAAATTTTGAAATTGAAGTTTTATATTTTTATAGTGTAATATTATAATTTAATATTTTATAAATATTTACATAATATATATAGTGTTATAAAATTAAAATAATTTTACACAGTCTGTTTAAATTATTATAATTTACATAATAATTTTAACACTAACATACTGAGAATATTGGTAAAAACTCAATTTGTATCAAAACTTATTTACATACTTATCTTAAATATAATTGTAAAAAAATTATGGGACAAGATTTATCTTTTAAAAAGAAATTTAATTGCTGCAATATGATTTTTAATTGATTTTCTGTAACTGAATTTCTGATATTTTAGTTCTAACTTATTACTAAATGTGCTTGATAGTAAAGTACTACACGTTCTGTTAAAAATATGTATTTTATATTATATAGATATACTTGCATTAACTCAGTTTTGATTTTTCTGCTGCGGTTTTTACTTTTGTACTTAAAAAAATAAGTCGGAGTTACAGGATTTATTACAATATCTTTCTTTCAAATTTTTACATTTCAGTGACTACAATAAAAATATTTTTTCATTTTTGAATCTTTAAAAAACATGACAATCTTAGAACTTTCACAACTAAAATTTTTTTTTATGCTAATGTCAAATTTGTAGTTTTTGCAGCAGTGTCTTCGTGTTGTCTAAGTTATTTAATGAGGTTATTATGGTTCGCGAAGCGAATGTCATCGTTCTCGAATTCGCCGAAATTGTGTTATGGAATAAAATTATTTCACGAGAAATGGCAAAACTAGACAAATAGAAATTGTGACTAGAAGTAATTTTCAAAATTTTGTTTTGATTTTCAGTCGATAGTTTATATTATTTCAAAACTTTATGATAAAGTAGTAAAATTAATATTAATTTTTAAATATTTGTAATAAGGTAAATGTAATTAAAAAAAAAATAAATAATATCAATGTAGCATATATTGCATATAATAAAAGTGTTTGAACGGCAAAATAAAAGTAGCAGTTCGCAAAATTAGTAGAACTAATGCGAAGCCATCCGGAGGTAGCTCCTGGTGGAGTTAAGTTCGGGCTCAATAAAAATATACTGACTCCATATGGTGATTTGGCTTGAAAATAAAAACGATTAATTACAAAGTACATATTATATACATCTATCAATTATATAAATTATATAAATTATTTTATTTCGTTTTAATAATAACGAAATGGAATTTCATGTTTTTACAAATTTTTTGAAAAAAAATTTTTAAATTTGCGTTTTTTATTAACTACATAACATATTTACATAAAAAAATAAAATTTTGAATCCATTTTTCTTCAAGCTAGTTTTATTTGATAACAAAACATATTGCATGACACATGTATATATGTATGTATGTATTCATCTAAATCATATAAAATTTTTTAATCTTTTTTTTTTGGACTTTAGCATTTATTTACATCATTAAAATGTTAACATAGCAGGTAATTGATTAATCCTTTTTATTGGTTAGTTCAATTCTTTTTTCTTAATGCTTGTGTTCCTATAATATGTATATTATAGGAATTTATGATTGTGGACACCTTTTTTGAAATTCATAATCCTTTTGAAGCAAATTGAAACTCAATACATGTGTACATGTTTCTAATTGTTCGCACATGTACGTATAGTTCTGTCATATTTTGCCATATTTTACTCACATTTTATGACAAAAGAATGATATTTGTTCATTTCTTATAAAGGAGAAAATTTCTTTAAATTAATTTTTTCCATTTAAAATTAAAAAACTATGGTAATACGAAATCAGTGTTCTCTTTTTGTAAGGAATGCGAAGAAAATCGAATTCTATGCTGATTTTTTATATACAATTAAACATAAGTCCATGAACGTATTATTCTATGCAAGTCTGTTGAAATAGATGTTCAATTCAAGTGTAAAACAATAGGTGCCTAAAAAATTTTCGATTTATTTCATGGTTCCGAAGTTATGAGTATTTATTTATATGCAGGAAAAATCTGGTATCTATTTTCCAACAGGCTGTAGCTTGAAAACGTGTATATGTGCTTAAATCAAAGAATCAGCCCGGAAATCACAGAGATTTTCATAAAAACAATACTGCAAAACAATAATGTGATACATACGCAATATATTTTTGACAGTTGTATAAAAACTTTTGTTATTTTGAATTTTCAGCATTGTGTTCATGAACAAAAAATGTCGTTAGTAAAAAAAAATTTGTTCATTTCGGCCAAATAGTGGAAAATTCTATTTCAGGAAAAATAAAAATTAAGAAAAACAAAAAAAGAAAATTGAAACAAAAAGAAATTTTGTTATATTTAAGTACAGCAATTAACAATTAAAAATGTAAAACTAAAGAATGAAGACAATTAAAAATGTAAAAATGTAAAAATAAAGTTGGGTCAAACCAATGGTTTGTTTTGTAGCTCTTTTACACTCAACAAGTGAAAATACTGCTTTGAAAAACCATATACGTTATGTATACCTACCACACTATTAAAATTATTTTTATTCATATACGAAACAATTCCTAGGATTGCATATATTTAAGATGAATGTATTATACAGTTTTTGAAATAAAACAAAAATTAATTTTAAGAGGGGTTAACGTAATGGTCGATTTTAAGGGTTAATTGTGTGAACTAAGAAAAATAATTACATTTGTTAATAGCATAGAATTCACCGTTACCTTTCTGCCTTTATGGAAATTTGAAAAAGCTTGCGGTTTTGCTAATATAAGGTGCCAAATATTCAAATTTTGCAAATTTCGATAGGCGATAACTTGCGCGGGGGTTGGAGGTCAATAATGCTTTATAAAAAGTTTAAGTACGGTATTAATACAATTTTACTACCATCTCAGAGCTTTCAATACCTTTACATTCTAAAAAGAACTGCTAAAACTTTTGATAGATTTTGGAATACAATTTTTACAATATTAATTCATATTTGTTTGAAAATTTCAATTTAAAGTTCTGTGCAACTACTCATAGAGCGCATTTTGGAAAAGTGTTCAATGTCAAGAGCTTTTACTAAACTTTTTGGAATGTGATATTTGGTAAAGTTTACTTCGTCAGGGCATTATTGAAGTCACAGATTTTCATATTTCGTTCCATAGAAGTTACTCATACAATTTCTTTTTACCGAC